GGGCCGCGCGGGCCTGGGCCTGGGGTCCGGGCCCGGCTCTCTTTTGCAGGGCAAGCCCCGCCCACCCGCGGGAAGGGCGAGTGCAGGAACGCGCGATCAGAATCGAGTTACTTTTTCATCTCCGAGGCTCACATGGGAGGAGCATCCAGTTAGAAGGAAAAGAAATTTGGAAATCCACCGCAGGTTGAAAGGATGCTTTAAGGAACGTTAGCCACATTCAAAATGCGTCATCAAACTTTGGGAGTCACTTCTAAGCATTAAAAATTTTAACGAAAGCTTTGCACTCCACCAAGAACTTTTAGTGTCGCACTGAAGGATATCCAGTTTATTGTGAAAGGCAGACTCGCCCCGGTTTCACGACCGTGGTCAAGCGCAGGTGGAAAGGGTCCTGGGAATGTGAAACCGGCCACGCCTCTTTGAGATGCCCATTGGTAACTGTTACCATTGGTAACACGTCACCTCTGTAACACCCCCACCTTCATGTATTTACTCAGCTAGCTGTGAGTCTCACAAAAGAAATACACTAGTGCTTAGTTTTACGTTGGCTACTCCTGCAGCGTAGGTCCAGGCGTGACTTCTGGGGAGAAGGAAGCACAGGGAAAGCTGTGTGAGAGAAAGAAGTCTAAAAGGGGTTTTAAAAAGAAATAAAATGTCACCAGATTAATAAACGATGAGCAAAGGTCTATGAGTTCATAACTGCAAGGTGAAAACAGTTGTCACAAGTCCCAAAAACCAGCTAGAGAAGAGAGGCTCGATGTACATATAATAATCCCGTGCTCTGACATCCCCAAGCGTGTGGACTTTTTAGAGATCCCTAAATCAGCTCGTAAGATTTGGAATTCCTAAGTAACTAAAACCAGTCGCCTTAACCTCTGTGTCAGTTTTGTAACTTACAAGATGTGAAAAATAAGTGACACACAGCATATTATAAAAATCTGGCTGGGGGCGATTTGAAAATATAAAGTGCCATATTTATAGTCAACAAAGCTAGACTTCCCCAAAGCGTTTTGGGAAGAATTAGAAAAAAGAAAGGTTTTACTAAATAGTGGAAAGATATAAGTAGTACTACAGTTCACCAAACGATGCCCTTCTCCACCTTAGAACGGGAAGTGTTTTTGTGAACTTCGTCCATTAGTGAGTCATCAACCCACTTCCTTTTGAGCCGTATAAAATGTATTATTTAACTTCGGCTTGTTTTTCAAATTACTTTCATGTGGAACGTCCGTATTTAACTGTAGTATGTTTATCATCAGGCAACTGTGATTGTAAGTACCAAAGTAACTGCAAACAAAAACGCTTAAATGTTATTTTATACCTTGATAAAAATACGTCTGTCATTAATGGGTTACATTCCCATGGCACAGTAGGCCATAGGAGAGGTGCTACAGAAGAGCAAATCTATTTAAATTTCTTTTGCTTTCTCTCTGTCTTTCTTTTTTCTCTCTGTCTTTCTTGTTTATATATTTTTAAGGAGGGGTTAATTTACCAACAATTTGGCAGTGACCGAAGTTAAAATACCCAACCGTGGAACTTTGAACCAAGTCACGGTCTCACCCCAGATCTGATTTTAGATTTTTTTCAAGACAGTCTCCCTATTTTGCCCAGGCTTGCTTTGAACTCTGAGGATTCAACCAGAGCTGCTCCCTCAGCCCTCAGTAGCTGGAACTACTTGTCTACTGGCATATGCCACTGAGCACAGCTTGATTTTAGGTTCTTTGAAGAAATAAATGACAATAACAAAAACCAGAAGCCTAATGATACTGAAACCTAGACAGAAGTGCAGTCATTAGGGACCAGTGAAAGTGTTTGATCCCATGCTACAGTCAGATACAGATAGCCACCATTTTGCTATTTGGCAAATAAGGTCTTTGCACATAAATGGATCATACCCAAAGAAGTAGGACTGGAACATCTGTATCTTTTTTTTATTTTGCTGGAATGTCATGCAAATACATGTCCAAGTTGGAAATGCAGTGGAAGCAATCTCATTTCTAGAAGATGTTTACAGTACCGTAAACTGCTATAACAGTGCAATTTGCATGACACTGTAGCTAAATGAAATCTCTTATCCAGGGTAATTTGTCCCAAGGAGAAATATGTGTTTTTATGGATTATAAATTTTATGTAAGAAGTGATTCATTGGTCACAGTGACCCTCAACCAAATTTTGAGTCATTTTAGAATGTGTACAGTTTCAGATGAGAAACTACATGCAATGTTCACAACTCAAATTAAGTTTGGTATTCAAGAATTATTAGGCTCTCTATTCCAAAATGAAAGAATAACAACTTACAGAAAATAAAGTTAAGGTGTTAATCACATCCTATGAACTTAATTCCTCAAATGTAGGCAACTGCACTTTGCTGAGCTGCAAAATCAGCTTAGGTCAAGTATTGAGTCCCTTTTAGGACACGGAGGGCTAAAGGGTTACAGGGATTACAAAATTCTTAGTCTAAAGGAGAGTAGAAAGTGTACTATATGCTAAGCAAAACAGTTTGATCAGCAAACTTTCGGATCTAAACTTCATTTCTATCAACCTGAGGTTATTTTGCCATCCTGGCTTTCATTATATATTCTGATTTCAAAATACATCTATTTATTCTTCGTTATAATGACAGCATCATGCGGACATCTCAAGGATGCATAATAAATACTGACCTTGATAACCCGTTCTGTAGGTTTCCCCGTTCTCGCTTTAATTTGCGGCAGTATGCCCAAGACCACGTATCAGACCAGAAACATAATGGCGTTAAAAGTCAAAACTTGCCTCCACTCCGGTTTCGATCCAGTTGTTTGACCCCGAAACACACCCTCATTAATTTTCTTATAAAACTGCTTCAAATATTTAGCACTTAGAACAAAACAGAAGATAAAAATACTCAGTGTAGACAGGCAATATGAATAATTCAGTATCCTAAAAACACATCAATCAGACAGTCACTGATCCTCTCTTCACTTTAGGCTGAATGCAGGAGACCTTCATTTAGGTCACGTTAGTAGCAAAGTAAGAAAAGAAACCTCACTCTCTTGTGCCAACCCAGGTAATAAGAAAGATTCCACAAAGGCCACCAGCAGTGCCTAAGAAGTCACAAACACTTTGGGGCTGGAAGAGCTTTACTTCTGTATAGAACATTATCCAAAAGGTTACATAGAAAATTCTCCAGCTGTAGGAATATAAGAACATGCAGTTACCGTAAGAAAAGGCATACAAAGAACAACTTGAAGACAGTAGACTAGCTTTTCTCATCTGAGAGTTTTAACAGTATTTGCAGTGTTACTTTAACTACCACACACAGAACTTCACAGTGTGTATAACTACTATGAAAAAGTAATAATTAGGAGCATAATCATATGAAGCCTAATTAACCATGTAAAACATAACAAAATGCTCAATTTATTTCCATTCAAGTACTTATGAAAGGTCAAGTTAATTTGAGACAACTTATGTTCTAGAAGGAAATACAGAAATGTAAGTATCTGTTCATGATACTTTTTGTTCAATTTGAGGAAGCTTGTTTCAGTATTTTAAAGGGACAAAGACGGAGGATCCAACCCTGCCTAGTCCGGGGGTCGAGGAGTGGAGTTAAGCAACAGGAAAGGTTAACAGGAAGTAGGGCCCCGGAAATGTGCAGAGTTACGCAGGTTAATGTTTAGGGGCAGAGATCGGGTGGTTCTGTTACTGTTTTATTGTTTCCAAAAGCATTCCGCCAACAGAAGGAATGGGAGCATTTTGTCATGTACTTGCCGGTTTAGCTTTCAATCAGTGTCTCTTTTGTGTTTCTTGTCATTGTCCCTTTGTTTTGACTTGTTCAATGAAGTCAGGGAGAACTCAGTCATTATATCTTTTCCTGCACGTACGAGTGGCCTTATTTTGGTAACATTAATAATCCTTACACATCCTTTTCCTCCATTTCAGGGTCCTAATGCCTTTTGTAAAGACCTGCCTAATGGTTTTGCCTTCAGTACAGACAGTATGGAAGAGCGCGACAGACGTTGTCCTTGCCCCACTGTGTACAAGCGTAGGACACATGTTTTCTTCTGTCAGCCTGCAACTGAGCCGTGACAACATTTAGACCCCGGGTCTGGAGATTGCAGAGGGTAATCCGTCTTTGTCGTTATAGCATAAAGTACTACTGTTCTGTCTACTCCTCAACGATCTCAATCAAGGAAAGTTCTCAGAGGAGAACCCACACATAGAAAGTATTGGCGAACATCAAATAATGCTTTTCTAGTGCATGCCCAGGGATTCATTCGTATCTTATTTTATAAACCAGAATTATTTGGTAAGTTAGCGACACTTATTTTTGGAGACAGGCAGCTTGTGCTTTACTAAAAAAAAGGACATACTTTCAACTGATAAATTGATAGCGATCAAGGGACACTTCTCTGAAAACACTACAGTTCTGCACACAAGTACATAAAAAGGTGGAATTTCTTATTTGCTTATACTCTTGGAGTAATACTTTTAAAATTACTTTGACAGACATAATCATGAGAATACCTAGAGAGGCTGTATCTAAACATTCAAGATTACCGTAACAAAAGCACACAGTGATGCTACTAATATCAAATACAACAACAAATAATGTGAAAATAGATTCATGAAAATGTATTCCTTTGAGGCATACTGTTAACCTAAAGGCCTGTTTAACAAGGTGTTGCATTTACTGTACATTTTGTGCTTAATATAAATGTTGTTCTAATTGGATTGCTTTATGATATTTGTTATCATGTTGAACTGATATTTAGAATGAGTAAATATATCTCACACAGGTAGCTTCAGGGAAAGATGCACTGTCTTGATTACAAAAGCATTTATATGGCTTCTGTGGAGAAGGAATGTAAAGGACTGGCACTCTCCTTTCTGACTTTTCCAAGCAAAATCCTGAGGTTTCATGACTCATTTATCCGTCTGTGATGTTAAATCATATCTAATTGACATTTTGTCCTATAGTGAGAAATTAAATCTATATTCTGCATTCCTATGAATGTTTCACTTTACTTTCATGTAATATCGGTGCTATTTAAGAACATGTTATGACACTGGCTATTTCTGACACTTCAGTACAATTTCTTCTACAATGATTCATAGAGAGAGACTTACAGAGAAGTTGTCGATTTGGAGGACCCATGCTAATGAGCTATATGCATAAATTTAAAATTAACAACTACAAACTTTTAATAAGGATATGGATTTTGTAACATGAATGAAATTATTCTATAATTTCTGGGATGTGAGGTCTTATTTTAGTCTTGAGTTACTGTTACTTTACAAATCTCCTTTGTTCTGAAATGATATAGGCACATATAAAAGTGTCTGCAGTGTGATTTATATATCTTAAGAGTGTCTAAATGTGCAAATTTCAGAATTTCCCTCAGAACATGAACTAACTTTTCTTTGGATATCCTCATAAGTGACAGTTCTTCATTCAATGAAGAGTAATAAGATTTTTAAAGTTGTCAGGTTTGGTGAATAAAAGGGATGATTGAACTGAAATACTCTTGGTAACAAATCAAAGAGAATGTTTAAATTATGAAATCATATCCTTTTGAAAGTGATTATAAAAGAGACTTTAAAAACTGCCTTAGGACATTGTAGCATCCTTAGAAAAATACTCATGATCATGACCTTAAACGATTGCTACTCGGCTGTATAGATTTTATGCTAGTTCAAAAGGTCAATCAGTCTCATGACTTTATAGTTGTACTTTGTATTTAAAGTATATGTTTAAATATTTGTGTGTATTGATTAGCAAATGGTATTTGATTAATAAAATATCTATTTTAATAAATCAAAAACTTCAACATTTTCAAATAGTGATTAGCAAGTTTTAAAATATGTAGTTATAAAATTAAACCTTCTAACTTCTAATATATGAAACATTATTTCCTTATGTCTGAACAATATTGATTATTTTCAAAATAAATTTTATTGAGTGTTTTGATGAATTATTTTATTTCAAAGATTTAAATTTTGAATAAAGTAAGTTAAAGTTTCATATGAAAGCCTATTAGTCCTTTTATTTGTGGTAAAGGCAACCGGAGAAAGAGAAATAATAAACTTTCTAAAAGCTCATAAGTGTGTTCATTATTTTTATTGTATTTTATCCTGTTCATTGCTTTCATTAATTAAATGTGAAATGGACCAATAGAACATTTTCAAACTAATTTTAACTTATTAAAAACTAAACATGTTATATATACACGAATTATCACTTATTTTAGATTATAGTTTCAAAAATTATGAAATGAGTAAGTCAGTTCTTTGCTTTTATAGTACTTAAAGAGGTTCCATGAAAACTTTTCAGTCCCCTGATGAACGGTGCGGAGTAGCTGGTTCACAAACCTACATGTTTCATCTTCTTTATAAAGTTTTTCTTTGCTAATCCTAAATAAACAGGTATTTCTGTTTCCAATTTTTTAAATATGAAATTAATAACAATATAAATCACATGTGCCTCGATACTTGCACCAGGAAGCCAGGCGAGTGTCCAGAATTATTTTTGGAATGCGAGCAAGTGAAGAGTGGTTGGTGATATTGGCACAGGTTTTCTTGTGGTCGGTTAATCTGGGAAAATAACCAACCTCAAGTAAGGAAACAGGTGTCTGGCTTTCTAAATGTGCCTTATAGTTTCAAAGAACTTTAAAATTCATTCTATTTAATAGTCATGCACAGCCCATCAGTTCATTTTGATTTTGGGGGGTTGTTTTGTTTGGGTTTTGGTTTTTTGTTTCATTCTGTTTCTTGAGACAGGGTCTTGCTATGTAGTTTAGGGTGGCCTCAAACTCACTGTACCACTTCACCTAGAACTCATAGTGACCTAACCCTCCTGCCTCAGCCTAGGGAGTGCTGGATTACAGGCCTGCACCACCGTGCCAGCGTTTTTTCGGTGCTCTTCTCGGGCTGCTGTTGAGCGTGGTGAAGAGGCCTGCCCTTTGAAGCGGGCACTGGGATTCTGACCATGGCAGGGCAACCACAGGCCTCGATTTTCAGATCTTTAATGAAAGGACTGGACTGAACTCTCAAGGGCTTCTCGAGGCCATTGTTTCCTATTATTTCAGGAGGGTAAAGATGGGTTGTGTCTCTTCTAACCAATCTAGCTGTCCAGTCCAGGAAATTTTTAAAAATCCTGTGGACCACGGGGCTGGCATACTGCAAATATATTCAGTAATGTGTGTCCTTTTCCCTCCCCTGCCCCCTGATAACTACCCTGTGTCTGCAGCTCTGTTCTTCATGACAAGAAATCCTTGATTTTTATCAGTTCTATTAGTAATTTCTCCAAAAGCAACACGTCACTCTGTAATTTAATCAGGATTAATTTATTGGAAGGTTGTCTGCCAAAATCACTCTCACCACTTGCGCTCGGGGTCTTAAACGCCCTCCGAAGGCACGTGATTTGGTTCCCTGCCTGCCACACCACAGGAAGGTGTGGAACCTTTAGTGGAGCGTCGGGGGAAGGAGTGAGCTCAGGGGCTGTGAACCCTTGAAAGGGCTGCTGGGACCTTGGCACCTTCCTGTCTCGCTACATTTTGCTTCCTGGCCGCAGTGCTGTGAGCAGTTTCCTTTAACGCTTGCCTCTACAAAGATTTTCTGCCTAACTGCAGGCCCAAAGGCAACATGGGCTGAACTACCAAGTACTCAAACTCCTGAAACTGAGCCAGAGTAAACCTCCCTGAGTGTCTTCATCCCCAGCTCCCTCTTCAGCCTGGCTCTGGGCCAGGGCCTCCTAACTGGTCTCACTCCCGGCTTTCAATACCACCTCTAATCTTGTTTTCTTTCTAAAAACAAGTGATCGCATCAAAACTCCATGTCACTTTTCTGCTTCAAGCTATCAACTGCATGAGAGTTGGTCAATCTCAGAATGATGGTCCACTCTGGAGTACCGTACACCAGGCCTTCAGGAGCAGTCATTTGTCTATCATCTGTCATTAGCGTTTCTTCTGTAGCCTTTTTGAAAACCGGGCCCCGCCCCCAGCAGCTCTACCTTCCCTCCTCCATGCCAGAAATGTTTCCCCTAACTCCTGTTTCCAAAATTTCTCTACCTGAAGTACATTTTTAGTGCTTTTGTATACAATCTTATACAAACCCTTCTTATCACTTACCATGCTGTAAAATTAGCCCTGTCAACTAACCCTGTTAGATTGCTAGTGAAGTCTTTCAAACCCACATCATGACTTCCACTTTGTTTCCTGGGATTCTGAAATGGTTCCCAGTACCCAATGAGCCCAGTCAGCATTTTCTGAATGGATGACTACATGAGCACATAGCTGGAGAAGACTTGGAATCTTTGCGGAACACGGCAACTTCAATTTTTTTCTTTTTGCAGAAGGAGTTTGAAATGTATTCATTCAAATAAAATTCCTTCCCACCATTTTCTTCCTTGCGAATCACTGAGTTGGGAAAACTAAAGCGCATATAAGGTAAATCAGGTGTATTTCTTCGAGGAAGAGTAGTATCCGTCTTTAATCTCCATTCTCTTGCCTGAAACCTACTTTCAAATCTCATGGTAGAAAATTCTAGTGTTTGGAAGCTTGCTTGAAAATTTTATCTATCTATCTATCTGTGTATATTATTATTTTACTTTGCTAGTGCAAATGCATAATATATAATGTTCACTTTCCTTGGAGTTGGTACATGTGCATAACACACCCTAACTCCCTTCCTCATCCCTTGTCCCTTCTCTCCCACCTTTCTCCCTCGGCTTCTTGGCCCCCTTCCCCTCTGAAAATGGTCTATCTCTCTACTCCTTAACCTTTATTTCGCTCTCAGATACATACTTTCATGCTTTTCAGAATGTTGTTGTTCTTTAGTAGTCTAGGATACTACTGCCAGCTTGAATCACATAGTACTTAAACATTATTTCTATAGAGTTTTACATTTTAGGAAAACAGCCTCATACATTGTCTCAGTTGAATCCCGGGACAGTTTAAATACCAGTGGGAAATAATACAAATAATGGCTCGATTTTGTTAGCTTGTAACTTTGTCACTGTAGAATGTTGATTAAAGATAAGAAGAGCTTACAGAATTGCTACAAAGTTACGTACTTGCTACTTTAAAAGCTGAGAAAAAAGTCCAGCCTCAGAGACATTTACCGTACCTGATGTAGTTTTCACAAATCGTGCTTTGGTGTATTTCCTCCCTTGCAGGAGTATGTGCAGGGGAAACTGACAGAGCAGGCGCAAACGATACAGGACACGGTAGGTATTCAGCCTAAGGTTTTAGGGATAAGAATAATTTGGGCTCTTGCTGTCTACTTATCCCAGTGTCTTCTTTCTGTTCACCCCTCAATAGCAAACGGAGCAGAACAAGTCCTCTGCTCGTCACGTTTTCAAATCACTTTTTACTAGCGCTCCAGCTCCTTTCTTTGGATTATATCTGAAATGTTACCTCCCGAACTTGATGCTTCCGAAGTGAAAAAGGTCCTTGGATGGGGTAATGTTTCAGCGCCTTAGAAGTAATCTTTTGTTTTAGTGCAAATGGATGGATGGTCCAGAGGTGACACTGAACACTGCACAGGAGACCCAGTAGGAGGGCCCTGAGCCCTGCAGAACCCCAAAGAAAAGTAAAAGATAGGCCGCCGACACGAAGGCTGGGCGGAGAAGAGGAAGCAGGGGGCACCCAGGAGGTGACCTTCACCCCTCAAGGTGCTGCCTTCGGCCAGCCCTGCTTCGAATCCCTAGAGCAGGGAGCCGGGGAAATTGAACAGGGAGGAGAGAGTTAAAGGCAATGACTTTTTCTCCATAAAGGAGAGCTGATTTTGTCCTACTGAATAAAAGGGCCCTGGGAGTGGGTACGAGGGCTCTGCAGAGCCATGTACCCCACAAGGACTGCAAAGTGCAAAACTGAGAATGAAACCTGAATCAGAACTGTGAGCACCTGTGTCTTTCGCGGCTCTCTTCTCCCTGTCGACTGCTGCTGTGTCTCTGTAGCAAAAAGAGGCGACTACAGAGCAGTCAGAGAAATCAGAAGACACCACTTCAACACGTACCCAAAAATAGGATCCAGGAACCTGTCTGCCCGCACTTGGACGTGTTAGTCACTCAGCTTGGCTGGAAGGCTGGAGAAGCCACTTTCCTGTTCTAGGAAGAGGCAGGAGATGAGAGAAAAGACATGACTCAGAGGGACACAGCACGGAGCCAGGGGCAAATGTTTCTCGCAGACATAGACGGATCAGGAAGCCATGAGAGCAACAGGTCATCTCTGGAGCATTCTTTCCTTTCCCTGCCTCCCAGCAGCTGTCACTGAGCCCCGACCAGCAACAAAAGGGGAGAGAAGGGCCGCAAGGGACTCGGGCTTTCCTAACTGAATAGCACATCCGTTTCAGCCAGCTGCTGGCTCCGCTAACTGGGACAGTGGGACGAGGAGCCATTCGGAGGGCGGCAGGGATGAGCGTGCCGTTTCTCAGGAAGCCAAGCGGCGAAGATTAGTGTGCTTATTTTGCCGAGGAGGAAACTGGTTGTAATCCACTGGGCCTTAAAGCTGGCGGAGTTCTGACCTCAGTACGAACAGTAGCAGGAGCGCGGACATCTGTGGAGTCCCGTTACCTGCTTGGTGTCTCGTGGCGCAGTAGCCCTGTGACGTGGCTGCGGTGGGCCCCATTTTCAGAGGATGAAACGGGGCACTGAAGTTGAGGAATCTGTCCAAGATCACAGTGGGAATTAGGACTTGAGCCAAAAGAATCTGACCCGAGTCCATACTCTGAATCACTGTGGAGAAGGTGTCCTGCTTCCCCTGGGACATATGCATTGTTATTCCATAACTCGTTCTCTCCTCTAACCAAAAATCCCCCTTTCCATCCTCTCAACTGCGTCACCTTTCCGGCTTTCGTCCTCCACCACGGGATTCAGTCACATGACCTCAGGGGGAAGACTTGCCCCGAGCTGGCATCTGGGCCCCCGTGCCCGTCCAGTGCCTTGCTATCCCAGGCACTACAATAGTGCCTCTCTTTCTCTTTATGATTTCTTTCTCTTCATGATTGCAGCTCCAAACTTTATATTCCAGCTGATTAAAACTATATTTCTCAAGTACTATTATTCTCATGTTTTGAAATTTTCATAAGATTGCACTAGCTTC